GGTACTGTATCCTAATATTATCATTGAATTATTTGAAATACTAACAATCGATAATGAAAATACTAATAATGATAAGGAAGTCTTGAAAATTTTGGAAATTATGGAAATTATGTCATGTCTTAAGGAAGATTGACAATTAGAAAAAAAAATTGCATGAAGAAAATTTGTTAAAAATTTTTTTTAGGCTAAAAAGCATTCCCAGCCTCCTGTTTCTCTGCATGGCCAGCTACTGTGGAGAGAGTTCTTTACTACTTGTGCCTACAATATTCCAAACTTTAACAGAATGGAGGGAAACCCTGTATGTCTACAGATCCCTTGGGATAAGAATGATGAATATCKGAAGGCTTGGGAAGAGGTATGTTGGAAATGAAAATATTGGTAATCATGGGTGGTATATGCTGCTGACTAGTGTGCCACCTTACACAGGTGTGGTCATGGGTTCCATCCTTAGACTCTCCATCATATGTGAATGTGCTTTGAGGGTTTCCTGAGGTAACACACCCCTATATTTGCTATACGGGTACGTGCCACCAAACAGGGTATGGTTTTCAATGATTCTACTCTGGAACAGAGTATATAAAATCACACTCGCTCTGGGACAGGGTATATGAAATCACACTCTCTCCCCTCTGGAACATGATATCTATTTTCGCAAGTACCGGAAAAGGTTTTTTAATATGTGATTCTTCTACGTCATCGTCCTGAGGGATCATGTGAGATTGCAGTGCGCATGCGTACTTCAGTGCGGTATGAGCTGTCGTACTTAGTCGTTGAAGCTTTTGGCCAAGCTGAATTTTCTGAAATTTCTTCCTTCCCACCGATAGTTTTAACGTTCTCAATACCTAAGCTTGCTTCGTAGGAGCATAATCTACAGTGTTTTCAGAGGACAAGCAAAAATTTTGCAGTGAAAATCGAAGATTTTCCAAGACACGTGCAAGGAAGAGCACAATCGAATCGGTGGCGTGAAACCTCCAAATTTAAGGCCTTAAAGCCTCTGTGAGAGGGAAAAACATGCCTGAAACAAAGCAGCCAGATAAAAAAGGCAAATCAGAGGCTGGGAGTGTTTCTAACAAGAACAATGGTGAGAATACAAGACAAAGAAAACATGCCCAGATGCCCGCYGTGTCGCCAGAGACAAACGACTCTGATCCAGTGGTGAAGGCGGGAATTCAGACAGCAACAACCGTCCGGGCGAATCCAGACAACATGGAGRGACAGAGCGAACTCCTACAATTTGGATCGATGGTATCCAAATCAATTCTGGATTTAAAAAATACCATTGTTGACAATTTTGCTCAACTCAATAACACATTGACTCAGTCTGAATGGACCTCAGAATACGAGGACAATGTGGAAGAAGGCTACTCGGGCGATGACAACGAGTCAGGAACAAGCGCCAGAGATGGAGATCAGGAGAATCCTGACGAACCACCACATAAAAAGAGTAGGTCCAACGAAACATCTAATGACGCTAAAGAGACCACTAGCAAAYGTAAGGTCTTGAGCACAATTGCTGAAAAATTGCAATTGCAAGAAAAAGTCGATCCAGACATTGATGCAGAATTGTCAAGCATGATAAACACCTTGATGTTTAAAAAAGAAAAACCTGATGAGGACAAACTCAAAGAAAAGCTAGATCTTATTGTAAGACCTGCAAACTGCACCTCCCTTGTTACAACTAAAGTGGATGAACTAATTTGGCAGAGGCTAAGACCACAGACTCGCTCTTTCGACTCAAGAGCTCAGGTGGCCCAGACTTGTGTGGTGAAATCTGTGACACTCCTAGCAAAAATGCTGGATAAAGCATTAACTCTTAAAGACAAGCTCCCTGAGTTGCTCAAACCAGGAATTAATGACAATCCAGAAGATGCACTTCAGAGGGAACTAGATACACTCATCAAGGATGGAGTGGACACCCTTGAAGTTATGAGTTTTGCTAATTATGAGATTAATGCTCGTCGCAGAGAATACATAAAACCAGATTTAAATAAAGAGTACACTTCACTATTCTCTGCATCAGTGCCCATCAACCAGTTTCTGTTTGGTGGGGATACATCAAAACGACTTGAGGATATAGATAAAACTAACAGAGTTGTAAAGAAAGCCATGGGACAGAATACCTACAACAGGCCTCGCCAATATAGAAATGCCAACAACTCAGGCAGAAAAAGAGGTCGGGGTCAACGACCTAACAACCAAAGACAAGGTTATACACAGCGCCATTTTTTAGGAAAAAATTCCTCCCCCTCAGAAAGCACATATCGAAGGCCACAAAGAGGAGGGAGGGGCAGAGAGCCCAAGAACTAATGGCAATACCAACCAACACAAATCAAAGCAAAGAGGTGAGAGATTCACTTGTTTATTTTAAAGGGACTGCCTCCCTCTTATCAGTATTGACAAATTTAAAGCAGGTAGACTGAAGGAGTTTATAACAAACTGGGAAAACCTCACGTCTGATGCACATATCCTTGACACAGTACAGCACTGTCACATAGAATTTGTGCAAGGCTTCTCCTCTTGTACTCAAACATCTGGGAGAGTACAGAGGTTCAACCTACAAGAGCAAAGAATAATTGAAATTGAAATCCACAAATTATGTGAAAAAGGGGTGATTGAAGAGGTCAATCACAGTGCAGGGGAGTTCGTATCCCCCATTTTTACCAGACAAAAGAAAGATGGCACCTACCGTGTCATCCTCAACCTCAAAGAATTTAATGAAAATGTAGCATATCACCACTTCAAAATGGAAAGTGTACAATCTGCCATTAAATTAGTTAAACAAAATTGCTACATGGCCTCAGTTGACCTGAAGGATGCATATTACTCAGTCCCAATGGCCCCAGAACACAGAAAGTACTTGAGATTTCAGTGGAAAGACAAACTCCTTCAGTACACCTGTTTCCCTAATGGATTAGCTTGTTGCCCCCGCTTGTTCACCAAGCTCTTAAAACCTGTCTATGCCACCCTGAGGGAAAAAGGACATGTAATAGTCCCTTACATTGATGACTCCTTTTTGCAAGGAGACTCAGAGCAACAATGCTGGGAAAATGTTAAGGATACTGTACACATTTTGCAAAACCTGGGATTTATTATCCACCCTGAAAAATCACAATTCAGGCCCTCAAAAGAATTGATTTTCTTGGGATTCATAATCAATTCAGAGCATATGACAGTTAAACTGACACAGGAAAAGGCCAAACACCTCAAAGAGGCATGCCAACAATTATTAAGGATGGAATGGCACAAAATAAGGGAGGTTGCTAAGGTGATTGGTCTCATGATTAGCAGTACTCCTGCAGTTGAACTGTCAATGCTATACTACAGAACCCTAGAAAATGAAAAAATTGATGCCTTGAAACAAAATAGAGGTGACTTTGATTCTGAAATGATCTTGAGTCCCTTGGCCAAACAAGATTTAAAGTGGTGGGTTGACAATATCCAAAATTCAAGTAAGAAAATCTGCCAACCCAAGCCAGACATTGTGTTAACAACTGATGCATCAAAAGAAGGATGGGGGGCTGTGATAAATGACCACACCACAGGGGGTAGGTGGTCTCCTCAAGAAGCAGAATTGCATATAAATGAACTTGAGCTTAAAGCTGTCCTCTTTGGTTTGAGGTCATTGTGCAATAATGTCAGAAATAAGCACATAAGGATCATGTCRGATAATACAACAACAGTCTGTTATATTAACAACATGGGTGGCAGTAAATCTAGAGCTTGCAATGAAATTGCAAGGGAAATTTGGCAAACAGCACTAAAAGGAAATAACTTCCTTAGTGCAGCCCACTTACCAGGAAAACAAAATGTATTAGCTGACAGAGAATCCAGAGCATTTAATAACAGGACTGAATGGATGATGCATCAAGGGATTTTCCAAAAAGTGTCCCAGCTATGGGGACCATTTGAGATTGATCTTTTTGCATCAAGATTAAACAAGCAAATCAGCACATACGTGTCATGGAAACCAGACCCTGATGCAACTGCTGTTGATGCATTTTCAATCTCATGGGATAAGCATTTTTATGCATTTCCACCCTTTTCTCTGATTGACAGATGCCTGCAAAAGATCTCAGTGGAAGAGGCAGAGGGTGTGATGATAGTACCAGTATGGCCCACTCAGACCTATTACCCCAGGATAATGTCCATGGTGATTCAACCACCAAGGCTTCTTCCAAAGAAAGAGAACTTACTCAGACTCCCTCACTCTCAAGTGAGCCACCCATTGTGGAGAAAAATGCAGCTGATGGCATGTCTTGTATCTGGAAAAGCTTTGAAACAAAAGGTATTCCGGAAGAAGCAAAAGGAATCATGCTCCAGTCTTGGAGAAAGTCAACTAGAGAACAGTACAATGTACACCTTAAGAAATGGAAAACCTTATACAGCAAAAGGAACATCAATTCTGATGATATATCTGTAAACAATGTATTACGATTCCTCACATTTTTATATGAGTCCGGATTGAGCTACAGTTCTATTAACACAGCCCGATCTGCCTTATCATGCCTTGACTGTGGCAACGTATGTCCCGTTGGAAATAATCCTCTAATTTGTAAATTTATGAGAGGGGTTTACAACATCAGGCCAACTCAGTGTCGTTACACATCTGTGATCTGTGTGGGACGTTAAAGTTGTTTTGGACTTCTTCAGACAATGGAAAGATAACTCGGAGCTCTCACTCAAGGAACTTTCCATGAAAACTGTTACATTAGTTGCGTTGATAACAGCACAAAGAGTGCAGTCGTTACATAAATTAGACTTATCTTCAATGGTCAAGGAAGTCAACAAGATAGTTTTCAAAGTGGATCTTCTTAAACAAAGCAGGCCATCAATCAAGTCACCAGTTATAGAGCTTAGCTGTTACCCAGACAACCCCAAGATTTGTGTGGTAGAATTGTTGTCAGAATACATAACAAGAACACAGGCCCT